GCACCTCATAGTCCCCTGAGCAAAATCAGAAAACCCCCTGCATACAGCGCTCGGAATAGCATCATAGGGCTGCCAAGGTTAGCCCAAGGGGCAGACAAACAGCAAACAACAAGAAGAACAGAAATATGGCCAGGGATGAAGGAGGGACAGTGAGAGTGACATGGAAACCAATTCACCCGAAAGACAACTCTAAATGCATATTACTTCAACAACATACAACTCCACCATTGGCTCAATCACACTGATTCCTTGCAGTTTCCAGAATGTGGAGTAGTTTGAGATTTCCAGAGGCCACCATCCATGGAACAAACACCTCCTTGCTCCTGCTGAGCCTCTGCCTCTAAAACGTTTCCTCCCACACAGCCATCTTCTCCCACACCGCTCCTTAAGCGCCAAAGGTAGTCTTCTGCCTGGCAGGCACCCCACTCTATTGTTACCTGCCACCGTAAATCTCTCCCCTCTAGTCTGTGAACTAGTCTGTTTTAGCAGAAGCCTGATCAAGGAGTAGCATGGGATCAGTGCTCAGTCCACAAGTACTGAATATAAATGTACCAAGGACACAGAACCCCGAGGATACCACACACCCTGGTGAAAGTTGACTTGGAACCTCGCTTCCCTGAGAGCACTGTTTCTCAAACTTTCTCTGATCGAGGCCCTTCTGACCCTATTGGCTGGTCCCTCAATTAGGCCATTTTAACCTTTAGATTATCCTGGGTCCTATGTCCCTAGACGCCCCAGAGTACTTGTTCTTCAGTTAAATGATTAAGGAGGGGGAAAAAAATAACAAAAAGCTTCTAGATCAATAAGAAAGATCTTGAATTCACTTGCATTTAATTCTAAATACTAAATTACTAAAGAACAGTTGTTCTTTAGTAAGATTATATAAAAAATTTTCTATTATTGGACACATATTGTTAATAATATATGAGTCACTCTCTTTAGTATCCTTTATAAATTTTTAAAAAATACTTCTTGTTTTGTTTTGGGGCGACTCCCGGCGATGCTCAGGGGTAACTCCTGGCTCTGCATTAAAAGAATTACTCTCCAGAATGCTCGGGAGACCATCTGGGATGCCAGGAATTGAACCTGGGTTGGCCATGGGTAAGGGTAAGGCTACGGCTACCCACTGTACCACCCCTTCAGCCCTGTTTAGTAACATTTTTTAATTTTTTATTTTACTGTTAGTATTCTTTTTACATTATACAAAATCAACTAAAACTCTTTACAAAGCACAAAGACCAAGAAAGCTAATAGATAACAGGAAAACAATAGTCACCTGGGAGCAAATAAGCAAACATCACCCTGTCATCAGCCTTCTCCTCCGAAGGGGTCAGAGATAGGCAAAGAAAAGGAAGTCTCCAGGCAACGCCTAAATCCACCGGTCAGAGGCCATTTAATCTCTGCAACAAAGAAGCAATTTATCATTACAAAAAAAAAGTAGCAACACTCCCCCCACACAAACACACACTAGTCAGACAGCAGGTTATTTCCCATCCTTCCAGGCCAGTCATCAACTCCGGAGAAGTCGCATCTCCCTCCCCTGAGGTGTCCCTTAAAGCTGCTGGTCCACATATCAGAACCTAGCCTGGTCAACCTCGGCTCACACAGTTCTCGGTGGCACCGACTTGTGTACATGTAGCCACAACCTGAAGACCAGAGTCGGAAGCACAAGAGGACAGAGGTCAGAAAATTTCCTGTAGCAAGAACTGCCAGTTGGGTGACAAAATCTTACTTTCGGTCTGCAATACAAAGGAGGTCCAGGGCGCCACGGGAAGGAGGGAAAAAGAAAAAAAAGAGTCGCAGCAGCAGCAGCAGCAGCAGCAACAGCGGGGCTGGTGATTTTCCTCTTAGGACCGCCCCGAATCAGGTTTCAGAACCCCAGTGACTCAAGAGCCGGGAAGCCGGAGCTGTCAGAGCACAATGGGGGTCCTCGGCGCGGCTCCTAAGGGCTCGCAGGGAAGCCGAGGGGGGGAGAGGTGCCGAGGGGGGGAGAGGTGCCGAGGAGCGGCCCCCTAAGCGTCGTCCGCCAACGCCTGTTCCTCCCAGACCCGCAAATCAGGTCGCGGCCCTGAGAGCGGCGCCCCCCCGCCCCCCACCCCACCCCCGGCATTCTGCCACCACGTGCGCGGGATGGCGCTAGATTTTTCTGGGCTCCCCACCCAGCCCCCCTTCAAGGGCAGAGGCCGGATTCTTTCGGGCTGTGCCAGGCAGCATCGGAGGAGCTGCAGCGCTCGCTCCCGCGCTCGCTCGACAGGCTTCAAGAGCGTCTGTGGAATGACGCTGGGCGCCGGGTTCCCGGCCCATTGCACAACGCGGGGGAGGGGGGCTCCCCCCACCCACCCCCACCCCACCCCACGTGTTTGCTTAGTGCTCAGGGAGGCATGTTCAGAATGTCCCACATGCAGATCTCCTTGCAGGTGTGACAGGAGAGGATGTCTGAGCCAGATGACAAGGATAACGGGGGTGGGGGTGGGGGGAGGCATTCTAGCCCCAGTGGACAATCGGGGGTTTCTGGAAGAGGGTTTTTGGCCTTCACTGCCCCCCAGCCTCCCGTCTCCCACCTGCAGAGCTCCGGGTCGCGTCTTCCCACTCACCCCCGTCTCTCAATCTGTCTCTGTCTCTGTCTCTGTCACACACACACACACACGCACGCACGCACGCACGCACGGGGTCCCCTCACCCCCAGAGTCTCTCACACACTCGGGGTTCCCTTCCATCCTCTTCACCCTCGACCTCCGAGTCGGGGGTCCCACGCACACGGCGGCCCCGACCCTCAGGACACCACCCCCAACACACACACACACACACACACACACACACACACACACACACACGTGCCCGCGTCGGGCCCGCGGCGACGACCAGGCCCGGGACGCGGCCGTTACCTCGCCAGGATGCTCCGTGGCGCTGCCGCCGCCGCCGCCTCGGCCCTGGCTCCGCCCCCGCCACGTCACCGCCGCCGGTCGCGACAGCGCGCGTGGCGTCGGGACCCGGCGGGGCGCGGGGCCCTGGTGGCGGCGCTGCTTCCGGGCGGGCAGTTCCCTCCGCAGCGCCCCGACGGCGCCCCCCCACCACGAACCCGAGTGCAAGCTCGGCACCCCACCGGTTCGCGCGCCCTGCACCCCGACTCTGCTCCCTGAGGGGACCCAGACGACGGGACGCGCAGGGCCAGCTTCCGCACCCCGCCCAGCCCGCCCCGACCCTCCCCCACCAGCCCCTGGGGCCCTGGAGTGACCCAACACCCAACACTGGGCTCCTCCAGACCCCCTAGAGGGCCTCCCAGATAAGCACCCCTTGGCTAACCCAACCCCCCTGACCCTTCAGAGTCCCTTCCTCTCCTTCACACCCCTTCTGCTGCCTCCAGCTCCCTGATCTCAGGGCAGCTAAGTCCCCCTTAGATTCCTTCCACACTCGCAGCCACCGACCCCTGCAGACATTCCTCCAGATGCACCTTCAGCCACTGATCCTCTGCTTCCAGACCCACCAAGGCCATCCCTGGCTCCCCGCAGCCCAGAGAGGACCGAACCCAGACATTCCCTCCTTCCCACACCCCCCTGAATCTCCTGGTTTACCCCCCACCATTATGAGTCCCACACCCCCAAGCCGGATCCTGCTCCCTATAGTCCCCAGCTAGAAAGAACGATCCTTCAGGCCCTGCCCTGGAAGATTTCCCCGAGTGGGGAGAACCTGGATGACTCAGTGCTGTCCCTAGTCTTGGCCCTTGGCCCTCTGGGCCGGCTCCCGCTGAGTGCCTGGCTGGCCAAGAGAGGGGTTCCCGACACTCCCCTCGCTCCACAGTGGCCAGAAACTCCACACACACACACACACACACACACACACACACACACACACACGAGCTGGCGCCCAGCCCTCTGGTTCTGTCTCAAGCCCAGTGACAGGGGACGGTCAGCTGCTGTCCACTGGGCACCGAGCAGCGAGTCCGATGTTCTCCTGGACTTCATTCACGGTCATCCATCTCCTTTCTTCAGCTGTGGAAACAGGCTCAGGAAGGTGAGAAGCCTCCTCAGGCAACTTGGCTGATGATGTCCACAGCTGGGACTTGAGTCCTGGAGTCCTGGTCAGCTGGTGCAGAAGCTCTCTGCCGCTGAGGGACCAAGAGCAGCAGTGGGACCAAAAGAGGTCACGGGGAGTGGAGTGGCTGCAAGTGGTACAGATGGCTAAGGGTCACCACAGAAGGGGAGTCAGGCTTGGCAGGTGCAGGGTGTGAGTTTGCTACGGGGGAGGAAGGTGCCCTACCTGTTTCTCCCACCTTAGGTCAGGCACCCGAGGGCTCAGGGTGCCCTCTAGTGGCGCACCTGTATCATGGCCCAGGCCGCTGGAGCCTTGGGCTGTGGACCACAGAATTCAGGCCCAGACCTCTTCGTGAGGTCTGTTTCTCAGCTTGAGATTAGTTTCTTTGTCCAGCTACACTGGGTCCCAAGTCTCTTGGTGCTTGTCCCTCCTTCCTTCTCCCTCTGTCCCCCAAGAAGTGGGTGAAGCCAGAATGTTAATATAGCAGGGAGGGCGTTTGCCTTGCACACGGCCAACCAGGGTTCAATCCCCAACATCCCATATGGTCCCCCGAGCACTGCCAGCAATAATTTCTGAGTGCAGGGGTATGAGTAACCCCTCAGCATCAGGGGTGTGGCCAAAAAGCAAAAAAGAAATTATAAAGTAGGCGGTGGACAAACAAGGTGAAGAAGGGCAGTGCCGCTAGGCTCACAGGCATGATCAGGTCACAAGCTGAAATGGGACAGAGGCTGGCAAGGCAAAGCTGGAGCGGTGATGGGACCGGGGCCCATGGGCTACATCCAAGAGGGTTGGATTCTGGTTCTTCATCCTAGGAGGGGCAACTAGCATCCGGAAGGAACCATGAACCATGCCTTAGTACCGTAGAAGCCCACCGCGGCCCCAGGAAAGGTCAGGTCCCAATTCCTGCCTCTCCAGATCCTTCCACTCCTTAGTCCCCTGTCACCCTCAGGGCAAAAACTGCATCCTCACAGCATCCAGAATACTTTTATTGCCAAAATTGAGGTACAACTTGCTCAGAGCCCACGTGAGGCCCACCACGCAACTCAGGGGGCCAAGGGAGAGTCAGGCGCTGGGAAGGGTCACAACAGACCAGACCCAGCTCCATGGAAACGGAAATGCAGTACAAGAGGCAGAGTCTGGCCTGAAGGAGGCTCTGGGCCCTACCCTGGAGGGTCCCCCTGAGTCTCAGCCTATGGCACCAAGACAGGAGGATTCCACCCCTGCTCTCACGCAGCACCTCTGAGGCAACAGAAAATCCCCTGAGCATGGGGGGTTTGAGGAGGTGGCATGGCCAACATGTCTCCAAGTTGGCGCCTGCAAACCGAACCTCTCTCAGCTTCCGGGTGGGGCACAGGAGCTCCGCCTCTCCCAGTCCGACTCTGGCCCTGGCACACGTCCCAGAGACCCATGACGAGCATGGCCGTGACCCTAGCGGGAGGGCAGCGGCCTTCAGTTCGCCCTTTAAGCGCTTGCACTGGGCTTGGTTGGCATCATGACCAGAGTCCCAGGGCAGAGGGAGCAGCGTCGGTGCTGACGCCAACTGCCCAACCCAGGGGATCTAGGGCTTGGGGGGGGCCCAGCCCCAGAACTGGGAAGCCATTTGCGACCCAATCCTGAGCAAGACGGCTCTTGGAGGTAAAGAAAGGAGGTGAGTGTTTGGGGCCTGGGAACCACGGAGACCCCACACTGCCCCTAACCACTGGGGCTGCCCCCCAAGAATCCAGCCGGGCTGGGAAGCTGCTGAGCCACAGGGAGGCCACAGCGTCCGCCCCCCACCCCCATCCTGGGGTCAGCAGTAGCCCTACCTGTGGCCACTGTGAAGAGGGGCCCATGCCTGGGACCTTGGGGATGGGTCCCAGCACTCTGTGGCACCCCTCAAAGGCAGGAGGCCTGAGCCTGACAGGTGAGTAAAAAGGCCCCCCGGCCCCAGGTCAGAGGAGCCTGGCCCAAACCCTCAGGAGGTCCCAACCCTCCCACTATCAGCCTCACCCTCCCCCTCTGGCCCCCCAGGTGAGTCAAGAAATTCCCTGAGGAAGGGAGAGGGCAGAAGTGTCACCCCACCCCAAAACCCCGAGCGTGGCCTGGTCTGTCTCCAGCTGCTGCACACACTGGCTCCAGAAGCCGAGAGCAGCCCGGGCTGGCGGTCAGGGCCCAAGGAGCAGGCGTTTGAGATAGGCCAGGGTGCTGGCGTTGGCCAGCATGGCGATGTGCTCATTCCCCGGCAGGTCCTGCAGCCACACTGGCTGCTGCTGGCGGCCCAGCCACGCCTGGCACTGCCGGGCGCTCTCCAGGTTCACGGTGCCGTCGCCATCCCCGAAGCAGATCTTCGGCTCCCGATCCGGGAAGCTTTCGTAATAGAAGGAGTCTGGGGTGGGAACCCCCGTGCCGTAGAGGCAGTGAAGTGGCACCCCTGGGGGCACCAGGCCCTGGACCAGCCCCTCGGTGTCCTGCCGCATGAGCCAGCCGTCGGGGAAACCGATGTCCCGGTAGAAGCGGGCGTAGTCCCGCAGCGTGTAGTTGGCGGTGGGCGTGCGCACGAACACCTTCTCGGGGGACCAGGTGGAGTTATAGGGCAGCAGCCAGCTGGTGGACACGGCCGAGCGCTGCTGCTCCCGGATCTTCAGGGGCCCGATGACGGAGATCCGGTTGTTGTCTCCTGCAGGAGAGGGCTCCCTTCAGGCTGAGCTCAGGGGTGATGGCAGCCCCCCACGGGCCCCCACGGTGTTCCCAGGGAGCGCCCATGCCAACCCGGTTCCCTTCACGTCTGCTTGCAACGCTCACGAACCGGATTACTTCACTTCCTTTTTTGTCTCCGGGGTCGGGTGTGCATTTTGGCCACACCTGCTGGAGCTCAGGGGCTACTCCTGGCTCTGTTCTCTGAGATCCCTCAAGGTGGGGTCCCTCAAGGTCCCCATGTGATGCCAGGGATGGGAGGGGGTGGGCCCAGGGCTAGCGCCCAGCTTCCCTTTCTCATTTCATCACCAGGAACTCCTCAGCCACTTTTCCTTCCCAGAGCTCAATTTGTTATGTAAATGTCACCCCGAAGCAGCTGGGCACTTATCACCTGGCCAGCAGGCACTGACCTTGTTTAGACAGGAGGCTGGGAGTCCAGAAGAATGCTCCTTTCTCTTTTATGCTACTGAGCTGTGTCGGTATGTTCCCTTTCCTGGGCTCAGCCCTGCAGACCTCTTACTCACCTGCCCATCACTGCCCGAGGCAGCCTGACCTGCAGGAGGCAGAGCAGTGGGCGAGGCTGTAGGTGAGTATCAGTCCTTCACCCAGGCATGGTGCCAACATGGACACACCCGCCGGCCAGTCCCGGGCAGGCAGAGCTGCAACTCGCGAACCAGAAGTTGGGTTTTGTAATTTTCTAGGGCCACACCCAGGAGTGTTTGAGGAACTGCTCCTCTTAGCTCTGTGCTTGGGAGTCGGTCCTGGCTGAGGTCAGGGAACCCTCTGGTGCTCGGGGCTCAATCCCGACTGCCTAAGCAAAGCCCATGCTCAGCCCAAAGGCCATTTCTCTCCAGCCCGGAGGGCGGGAACTGAGAACTTGCACTGAACACAGGTTTGCTGGAGGGGGTCGGGAACCGGCTCAGCTCAGGGCGGGGCCAGAGCAATAGGACAGTGGGTAGAACATTTGCTCTACCAGTTCAATCCTGGACCCCCCATATGGCCCCCTGAGCCCTGCCAGGAATTATTCCTAAGCACAGAGACAGGAGTAAGCCACGAGCACCACTGGGTATCACCTCAAAGCCCAAAAAAATTAAATTTCCAAGAAAACAGATGTACCTAGGGAGGCATAGCTGCACCCACGTGCCTCCCACCTCCCGTCCCCACCCCCATCCTGCCTGGGCCTGAAAACAAGTTTCCCTGAATCTGGGGCAAAGTGTGAGTTTTTTTTTTGGTAGGGCTTTTTTGGTTTTGGTTTTGGGTTTTGGTTTCTGGGTCACACCTGGCGATGCTCAGGGGTTACTCCTGGCTCTGCACTCAGGAATTACTTCTGGCATTGCTCAGCGGACCATATAGGATGCTGGGGATTGAACCCAAGTTGGATGCATGCAAGGCAAATGCCCTACACGCTGTGCTATCGCTTAGCCTTTTTTTGGCTTCTTTTGCAGAGTCTCTCACATACAAGGCAAGAGCAGGCTCGGCTTTCATTTGTTTCTTTGGGGAACAGTCTGGCAGGTGCTCAGGGCATAAGCATTGTGGGAAGAACCTGGGGCTCCAGCACACAAAGCAAAACTCTGAACCAGCTCAAAGAAAAGTTGGGGGCCACACCCTGCAGTGCTCAGAGCTTACTCCTGCCTCCGTATTCCGTTGCACGCAAGGTGAACGCCCTACCAGCCCTACTATCATCTCACTCGCTCCTCTCTGCGATTTTTTTTTTTTTTTGGGTACACCTGGAGATACACAGGGCTTATTCATGGCTCTGCACTCAGGAATCACTCCTGGTGGTGCTCAGAGGACCACATGGGATGCTGGGGACCAAACCTGCGTTGGCCACGTGCAAGGCAAACACTATCCACTATACTATCTCTCTGGCCCCTCTCTGTTAACTTTTCATATACTGGTTGAAGGTAAAGTTCTAAAAAGAATCCTGGGGAAGGGGGCTGGAGCAATAGCACAGTGGGTAAGTCGTTTGCCTTGCACGCAGCCAACCCAGGCTCAATTCCCACCATCCCATATGGTCCCCCGAGCACCGCCAGGAGTAATTCCTGAGTGCAGAGCCAGGAGTAGCCCCTGTGCATCGCCGGGTGTGACACAAAAGGCAAAAAAAAAAAAAAAAAAGAATCCTGGGGAAGCTCCGAGTGGGTTGGGGTCTTCATAGCTCCATCTCCGGCTCAGGGGTGCCCTAGTCTCCCCCTAGACCCACACTGGACAGAGCAGGTGGCTCGGATCTGCAGGGCTGAGGCCTGCATTCACCGCGCAGCCCAGACTGGCTCACAGGGAGCGGCAGGGGCTTGAATCAGATGGAGAGCAACACGCTAGTCAGACAGACCTGCTGAATGGGCTCAGGGAAGAACGTTCACAGATGCTTAGTACGTGCCTGGCTGCTGGCTAAAAGCTAAGGGCTCACCATCCGCCCCGGGGCTGCAGCTGGCAGGTTCTGACGATCTTGAGGAGGCAGGTGGTGGGGAACAGGCCAGGAGGGGTTTCTCACCAACCGCCAGGGGGGCAAGCCCCGCCAGACTGGCACCTTCGCCCTCTGTGCGCTGCCCACAGAGGAGGTGCAGCTCCCTAACAGGAAACTGTGGGCCAGCCTTCCTCCTTGGGGCAAAGGCAGGTCGGGGAGAAGGGGAAGGCTGCCCGGAAGTCAGGCCAGCTACATCCAAACCCAGAGTGTGAGTGTGTGTGACCTCAAGGACCAAGTTTTGCCGTCCCTGAAGAGGAACCAGATGCAAATAGCAGGAGTCACCAACTAGCGAGGGAAAACGAGGCCGAGGGCTGGGTCTCCTCCGTGGGAGGGAAACGCCCGGCCCCGGGTGAGAGAAGGGGGGGGAGGAGGCGGGGGCAGGCCGCCAGCAGAACCAGCTGGACCCTGCGGGTCTTACCTGAGGCCAGGACGCGCAGTGTCTTGGCTACGCCCCCCCAGGGCGCACCCAGGGCCACGAAGGCCCGGATGTACTTGTCCTTCCAGGCCTGCGGCTGCCGCTGCAGAAAGTAGAGCGTGTACATGTTGCCCATGCTGTGGGCGACCAGCACCACGGGGCCCCCGTACAGCTGGTACATGTCCTCGATCATCTCGCGGAGGGCCAGGAAGTAGGGCCCGTTCTCATCTGCAGGCCAGAGCCGGGCAGGGGTCAGGCAGGAAGGGTCCTGGGGCCTGAATCAAGCTCTCTTGGGCCAGACCCAGGACCAGATGGGCGGGGAGGGGATGGTCCATGTCTCCCCCACCCCCCGGTTCCATGAAGGGAGGAGACGAGGGGGCCTTGCCCCCCTCTTCAGTCTGTCTTCCCCCGGAAGTCCTGCGGGATCGGCAGGGAAGGACAGGACAGAAGAACCCCAGGTGGCAACTATGATGAGGGGTCAGCAGGAGAGCACAAAGCGTGCGGTGACCGGGACCTCCTTGTCCCCACCTTCCCAGACTTTAGGGAGGAATCGAGGATGACCACTTACTTGGAGCTCGGCGCCAGTCGTAGGGGGCCCCGCGGACATCCTCACCCCGCGTGTAGCCCCAGCCCACGAGGCTGTCCACCATGGTGTGGAAATAGGAACCTGCAGACGAAGGGCACTTGGTGTCTCCACCTGCGGCCTCAGGGCAGGGAAGCTGACCCGGCACTTTCCCCGCAGCCCCCTGGATGGGACCCCTGTAGCAACAAGGGACCTGACCCCCCTCCCCCAGGCGGCAGGGGTCTTGCCATTCAAAGAACCCAGCCCCTACCCGGGGGGCCTGCGGGAGGGCTACGCACCCACGCTTCTTTTGCTGGGGTCCAGGAACTCCAGCGAGAAGGTCTGCCCAAAGCCAGGGACCTGGATGTCCACACCTTCTGGAAAGTGTGTGGTCCGGGAGGTTCTGTTGTAGATCAGCCTGGGGGGAGGGTGGGCGGAGATGCAGAGTGGTCACCTCAGGGTGACCCACCCCTGGTTTGGTCAGATGCAGAGAGGAGACCAAAAGTCAGGCTCTAGAGCCCGAACCAGAGGAACGCTCTGAGGGTCCTCGAGGTCCCTGTGCGGACCGACCCCAGCGCCCACCCTGGCAACAGTCCCTTCCTTTTCTCTTGTTTTGGGGCCGGGTGTGGCTTATGCCCAGGGCTTATGCCCAGGTCTGACTCAGGGGTCACTCCTTTAGGGCTCAGGGGGCCGTATGAAGCGCCGGGGGTCAGTTGTGTAGCCAAGGTAAGCGCCATGCCCCCTGTACTGTCTCTCCACCCCCCTTTTATAAATCCCAGTGTTGCAGCACAGCGCTCAAGGGACCCTGCGGTGCCGGGGACCCAACCCAGGGCTCTGGCCCCAAAGCATGAGCACTAGGAGCCCATGGAATTATCTCCCCGCCCGCACTCCCTGCTGTCACCCGGCACAAACAACTTTTGTGTGTTTGTGTGTGTTTGTGTCTGTGTTTGGGCCACAGCTGGGTCACTCAGAGGTGACTCCTGGCTCTGCACTCAGGACTCACTCCTGGCGGTGTGCAGGGGACCATATGGGATGCCGGGATTCGAACCTGGGTCGGTCACTTGCAGGCAAGCATCTAGGCCACGGACTGGGAGAGGGGAACGGCAGGCCTGGCCCTGCCATAAACACTGTCCCATCAGCCCCCCTCCACAGATGCTCTCAGCACCCAGCACCAACCCCGCATCCCACAGGCCTCCCCACCAGCACCCGAGTACGGAGCACTGCTGTGTGGGTGTGCAAGGCTGGAAATGATGAGAACGGACATGGGGACAGGGACACCATTGCCTGCCTCTGTGCCCAAGAAAACAGCCAGGACCTTCAACAGCTGTTCCCACCCTTCGGACACCCTAAGACTAGCCACAGAAAGCTGGCGAGAGCCCCAAAATGGCCCAAATACTAGGCACTGGGGGGGGGGGGGTCGTAGAGAGAGCTCAACTGTGTGGTCCAAATCAGGACTGAGTAGAATATCCAGCACCACACATGATCCTCCCTGCCCTGCCAGGAGTGATCCCTGAGTGCTACTAGGTGTAGTCCCAAAACACAACAAAGCATAACAAAAACAAAAACAGAGTGTCTTATCTAACAGCAATTATTATGACTATGACATTACCGTCACCGCGGGTAGGGCATTTGCCTTGCATGCGGCTGATCCGGGTTCGATTCCCAGCATCTCATATGGTCCCCTGAGCACCACCAGGTGTTATTTCTGAGTGCATGAGCCAGGAATAACCCCTGTACATCGCAGGTATGACCCCAAAAGCCAAAATAATAAATAAATAATGATGGTATGACTATGAAGTTACTACCGGTTCTTGTCCGGGGGCCACACCCAGCAGTGCTCAGAGACTACTTCCTGCTCAGCACTTGGGGGAACGGGATACACAGGGGATGGAACCGGATTTCTCACATGCAGGTCACCCACACTAGCCCTGTGGACCCAGCCCAGCCCGAGCCCTGAGCTAGAGATCAGGTAGCAGGAGATGGAGTTTGTTCGGTCTTGTATTTGTCTGGGGGCCACGCCCGGGGGCTCAGGGCTTCCTCCTGGCAGGCTGGGGACAGCACGGGGTTCCAGGAATCCAACTAAGTGCAAGGCAAGCACCCTGCCTGCTGGGCGGTTGCTCCGGCCCCCAGTTCATCATTTCCAGTTATGTCTGGAGACGCAGGGGCGCTGGCATCTGGACAGAGGACATGGGGAGTCTGGGGACTTGGGGGTCTGCGCCACCCACCCACCTGATGTTGTCGATCCAGCAGTCGATGATGACGGGCAGCAGCAGCTCCAGGTTGAGCCAGAGCGTGAAGTAGCTGTCGGTCCTCTTGGAGCAGAGGTAGTGCACGACGCTCGGCTTGTCCAGCTTGGCCTCCAGCTGGTTGCCCAAATCTCCGGGCACTGCAGGGAGGCACAGAGCCAGCTAGAGTTCCTGGAAGCTTGAACCCCAAGGCTTATGCTCCCCTCCCCCGCCGGACCCAAGTGGGTAACAGGACAGAGCATGGGGTCCCTTAACCAGCCCCTGGGAATCCAGAGAAGCATCTAGAACCGGCGTGTGTGTATGTAGGTGGGGGGGAGGGGACAGGGGGAAGGGGAGAAGGCGGTGTGCAAAGGTGTCAGGGTCACAGCTGACACGTTCCCAAGGACCCGGATTCGCTAAGCCCACGGTCTTGAGTCTGGTCTGAGCCTGGGTCTGAGACGGCTACACTCAAACCACAGCCCTGTGGCTTGGGGGTGTCAGACCCCAGGGTGACCTTCCTCCCCACTAGGCCACACACTGGGCTCCACCCCCACCCCCTGGCATCACGGCCCAACACTCGAGTCTTCATCTACATACACCCCCATGACTGTCTGTGCCTGTCTCCAACGCCCCCAAACGTGGACTCTTGTGCAAATCACAATCGCAGAGTGAGCAAGTGTCTGCTGAGCTCCCCTGAGCCCTGCAGGGTCAGCCAGCCCCAGCCCCCCCTCCATGCCCTTGGAGAAGACAGGGGTCGCCGGGGGGCCCTGGCTACCCTCCTCCCTTCATGACTGGGGTGTAGAATCCTCCCCCAAAGGCAAATGGCTGGAAGAAGAAGTTGCCACATCTACTCTCTCAAGATGTCCTTTGACCTGGTCAGCCTGTGGGGTTTCTGAAATTAGCAGAAGTCACGTTCTGAGCCACTTTTTGCCTAGTATGTCGACAAGCACTCACATGTTCTCAGGCCCAAGAACACTGGGACAGGACAGCCTTATTAGGCCCATTTTACAGATGAGGAGACTGAGGGAGGTGGGAATGGGTGCAGATAGCCTCTTCCCCTACCCAGTGCCTTCTGTATTACATCTTGGCTTCTGCTGCTCCTACCCACAGAGGCTGGTCATCCTGAAATGCTGATCCTCGGAAGGTCGAGATTAGGTCCCCTGATCTGTGTCCAGACACTGGGGTTGCTGCCACGGGGCTTCTCAGGGCTGACGCCAGCAGCCTCACTCTGGGATGCCAGGCAGTTTACTCTTCAGGTCTGTTGCCGATGCATTGGCAGGGTCAGGAACTGAATCCAGGACCTCGTACACATAAGACAAACAATCTACCACTGGGTCACATCCAGGTCCAACTTTTTGTGGGCGGGAGGGTAGGAAGTAGCCAGCCATGCACGGGGCCTACTCCTGGCGGTGCTTAGGGGACCATATGCAGCGCCAGGACCCAACTGGAGGCTGCACACAAGACAAGTGTCTTAAGCCCATGCTATCTCCTCAGCCTCTCTCCCCTTTTTGTTTTGGGGCCACAACCAGAGGTACCTAGGGGCTTCTCCCAGCTCAGTGCCCAGGGGTTGCCCCCGGCAGTGCTAGGAGGGCATACGGTACCCAGGATCAAACCTGTGCTTCCTGCTCACTGAGCCCCTGCTCTAGCCCTGAACTTTCTCCCCAAACTGAAACTGAGACGTTTCCAGTGCCAATTTCTCTGTGATGGTGGGTGGAGCCCGAGGCGCCAAGGCCGTGAGTGACCTAGCAGAAGGGTGTTTGGTCTGCGCCCATCAGGGGGAAAGGGCGAGCGGCTCAGGGACCACGACTTCCCAAGGCCACGCGCCCAGACTCAGGATCAGTAGACTCGACCCACTCCCTGGGGCCTTCAGGGTATAAAACACATGACACGAGTCATGAGTTACAGAGTCTACTCCTCCCCCCACCGCCTTTCCGGTCAGCCGAACCACTACCACCCTCGTCCACTGTGCAGTTCCCTCTGCCTGCACCGCCCGGGGCCCATTGGCCTGCTCCAGGAATCCCTCGACATCCACCCGAGTCAGCAGTCCTGTGCCTGCCAAGCACAGACCGCGTTTCTAGCCATCGCTGGGAGTCTCATCCTCCAGGCTGAGGCAGGTTGGGCCCAAGCTGCACCCAGCATCCTCCTAAAGCAATTCTGGCCCAAAGCTCCCAGCACAGGACTGCCTGAGCCCACACCAACGGTCACCACCCCCTTTTGGGAATGACGACAACCTCCCTGAAATATTCTGAGCGGGGGAGCTGGGGCTGGGGCTCAGCGGCGGAGCTCATGCCCTGCACGGCTGGATTCTATCACATCCCTGGCACCGCAAAAATGAAACAAAAAGCCCCAGAGGGAAAGAGCAAGTGGGTGTCTGCACCCGGCTCTGAGTGTGGATCACCTGCCTGCAGCGGCTGCTGAGAGCCATCATAGGGGGAGAGACTGACAGCTACAACGATGTGACTAAAGTCCCCGCGATGGCTAGCCTGTGACTCCAGATGGTCCGTGGGGCAGAGCTCCGAGAGGTCACAGGTGCCCAGGAACCCACAGGTGCGGCTCCAGGCCACTCAGCGCCTGGTCCAAGTAGGTCTGGCAGGGATGAGCGAAAGGGCAGGCTCCCCCACATCTGCTCCTGGTTGCCCACCGTGGCATTAGCCCAGCGCCCCTTGACTGGGCCTCGGTACCCTGCTCGGATACTACCCCCCAGTTTGCTAGGGGTGGGAGAGGGAGGGGGCAGGCCAAAGTGCAACCACCTGCCCAAACTGTTGCCTCTCCCGTAGTGGCCTCTGCAAGGGTCAAGGGAGAGAGGGCTAAGCATACCAAGTCGACCCTGAGGTCGCTGGTGGTCAGTCCAAGACCACATCACGCACTCCCTAACTCCTCACATACCCCACATCTCAGAAACGAGGCCGGAGGGTGTCGAGTCATTACAGTTTAAAAAACAAACAAATAAACAAAAAACTAACTAAAAACGGTTATGAGGCGAGGCGTCAGACTACGTACACGGAACCGCGCTGCCAGGCGCTGACCCTCCCACCCTCACCCCGGGATTCCACAGGGGAGGAGAGGGTGACCACGCCCGCGCCCATCAGAGCGGCAAGCGCACCGACGGGCTTTTACGCCCGAGCACCCCCTCGTCCCCGCTCTGCACCCCAGGAATGCAGCCCTGCACGCACGCAGACGCCTGGACGCGAGCCTCACCCAACACCACCGGAGGGGGTCGTCCAGCCGGGAGCGTCGGGGCTGCGAGCAGCAGGAGACACAGGAGCCCGCGCGGGAGCAGGGCCGCGGAGCTGGAGCCGCGGCCCAGACCCATGGCGAGCGGGCGCGCACAGCTGCGGGTTCAAGGTGCAGGTTCGGCTCTCGGGGCTCGCGCCTAGGCCCGGGGCGGCGGCGACGCGCTTAACCCCGCCGCCCGGCACCGCCCGCAGCCGCCCAGCCAATCGGAGCCCGCCTCCCGCAAAAGACCGGCCAATAGGGACACGCCCGCCGGCCACGGCCCTCCCCGGAGCGCTCCTTGTCCCGCTCCTGGCCCGCCCCCAGCCTGTTCCATTGACTGCGCTGCGCGCCGAACGCATCGAACGCATCGGTCGCTCGCGGCTGGGCGCGACTCGCACCCTCGCAGCCACCCCCTCGGGGAGCCCGGCCCGCCGCAGCCGTGCACCGAGCCCAGCCTCCGGCGCCCCAGGTCCACGCGGCGCAGCGCCACCCCTGATTCCTGACCCGTGATCCCGAACGGGGGTTCGGGGTCCAAGCGTTTGCTGCTGCTGCATGCCCCGGGCCAAGGGGGAAAGTGAGTCCAGGGCCGTTCTTTGGTCTTTAGCGGACCTGGAGCTGCCCAGGACCCTTGTGAACCCCACACAGGGCTCTTCGCATCCCGTTTTGTGTTTGTTTGTGGGCTACATCCGGTGTTGCCCAGGGACTATTCTGGGCTCTGTGCTCAGAGGCGACTCCTGGCGGTGCTAGGGTCCCATATGCCTGCCGTGCCTGGGATCTAACCCCGTCTTGTCCTGTGGAGACCTTACCTCCTGCGCTCTCTCCCCCTCACACCTAGTTCTGCGGACCTCTGGCTTACGGTCCCCCCTCCCCCCCCCCCCACACTCTGCTTCAGACTAGGGATGGGGATGGGACAACAGAGACAGGGTCAGTGTGTTACTGTCATTATTTTACTATTATGACACTGTTATTTACAATGTTGTTCATAAGTTTCAGGCATACAATGTTGCAACACCAGTACCAACCACCGGTGTCCCCAGGTTCCCTCCCAACCCACCTCCCTAACAGGTACTTTTTTTTTTTTTTTCTTCTTGGGCCACACCAGCGATGCCAGTTACTCCTGGCTCTGCACTCAGGAATTACTCCTGGCCGTTCTTGGGGGACCACACGAGATGCCAGGGATTAAATTTAGGTCGGCCACGTGCAAGGAAAACGCCCTACCTGCTGTACTATTGCTCTGGCCCCCAGGCACTTTTTTTTTTTTGCTTTTTTGGGTCACACCTGGTGATGCAGAGGGGTTACTCCTGGCTCTGCACTCAGGAATTACCCCTGGCGGTGCTCAGGGGACCATATGGGATGCTGGGAATTGAACCCAGGTTGGCCGCATGCAAGGCAAATTGCCCTACCCACTGTGCTACTGCTCCAGCCCCAGCACTTTTTTTTTTAATTCTTAAAAAAAAGTTTCATTTTAAAATTTTGCTTTCTGACTCTGAGCTTGGGCTGGAGCTATAGTACAGCGGTAGGACATTTGCCTTGCACGAAGCCAGCCCGGCTGAGCGGGTTCAATTCCTCCGCCCCTCTCGGAGAGCCTGGCAAGCTACCGAGAGTATCTCACCCGCACAGCAAAGCCTGGCAAGCTACCCATGACATAGTCAATATGCCAAACACAGTAACAAGTCTCACAATGGAGACGTTACTGGGCCCACTCGAGCAAATCAATGAACAACGGGAGGACCATGACCGTGACTCTGAGCTTGTTGCCATCAGCACCATCACGATGATTTTCTGCTCCTCAGTAAGGACAGCATATGCTGTCCTGACTCGACATAGCACCACCGCAGGCCTGCAGGACTGTGTTTTCGTTTTAGAGACCTCTTAGGTCTCACAGCACAAACTCCTCCAGGCTGGCCACGCGCACACAGCTGGGGCCTACCCAGCCTTTTTGGTATAAAGGTAAATGCTATTTCCAGGGCCTCAGGAAAGCCTAGTTTAGCTGGAAACTGTACTGCGGAAGAGCCTGTCACAGTATGTCAAACACTGGGCTATTCTGAAGCCTCAGAGACACCATCCAGAAGAGTTGGTTGTTTTTTATTTAATTTTTTTTTCTTTTTGGGTCACACCCGGCAATGCTCAGGGGTTATTCCTGGCTCATGCACTCAGGAATTACTCCTGGCGGTGCTAGGGGGACCATATGGGATGTTGGGAATCGAACCTGGGTCGGTCATGTTGGCTGCGTGCAAGGCAAATGCCCTACCCGCTGTGCTATTGCTCCAGCCCAGAGTTGGTTGTTTTTTTAGGGGGGTGGGGGTCTGGGGAACACCAGGCTGTGTTCAAGGCTTACTTCTGCCTCTGTCCTCAGGGATCACTCCCAGTGGCGCTCAGGGAAACTTATGGGGTGCTGGGAATTGAACCTGGAGTTGGCCATGTGCAAGGCAAGCGCCCTACTCACTGTATTATCACACCAGACCCCAACAGGCACATTTTTAAGTTTAATGATTGTAGTTTGGATCTCCTGCTTACTGTGCTGTTGGCTCTGTTGTTTAGATATAGATCTGCAACCCCCTTCTGCAAGGCCCCAAGTGCCTGAGGGCTCTTCCTTGCCTCGATACCTCCTGTCTGCCTCTCCTACCTTTCTATCTCAATTTCTTTTCTTCACTGCCCTTCTGTAGGGCCCAGGGTGGTCGCAGGTACCCTGGTCCTTGTTATACAGCCCATAGAGAGGTCAGGTCTGTATTTGGATTAGGAGTGAAAGTGACCATTTATTGGGCACTGGAGTTTGGACTCACCCTACCAAAGTAGTTTGTTTGCTGGGCAGAATGGCCTTGAGCCTTGGTCCTTCTCCATGACTCACGAGCATGTTCCCCCAGAGAGCCAGAGGGTGCCAGGGCTCCAATATCCGATCCCTAAAGGACTCTGCAGCACACAAAGGAGAGTCAGTGATGTGCTGGCACCACACGTCACTCTGGGCTAGGGGACAAGCATGTTTGGGGACTGGAGGTTTTCATCCTCCACAAACCCCCAACCCAGGCTAGACATAGTCAGGTCATCTGCCTGGTCCCAAGGTCTCTGTCCCTCTGCTTCCTTCCTCTTGGTCAGTGACTGAGCTGTTCCCACGTCTCTGTGACTTCTCTGTGAACCCTGCCCTCGTCTACTTCCCAGCAGTCTGGGGACATAGGGCTACACCCTCAATGCACGGGAGGTCATGCAGTTCCAGGGATCATCTTCTCTTTGTGTTGCAGTGCGAGGATCAAATCTCAGGCCTGCCACCTGCAAGGCAGGCGTGCTGTTAGCTAAGTTGCATTCTGGATCTACTCTTACTCTCTTTGGTTTTGTGGCCCATACCAGGTTGGTGTTCAGAGGACACTCTTGGCAGTGCTCAGGGGATCATGTGATACTGGGGATGAACCCAGACTTCCTGCATGCAACGCTGTGTGCTGGCCCTTTGAGCTGTCACCCCAGTGCCCTCCTATATTTTCTTTTTTGGCAGGAGGAAGGTGACACCCAGCGTTGCTCAGGCTCAGTCCTGACTCTGTGCTCAGGGATCACTCCTAGCAGTGCTCTGGACACCTATGTGGTGCCTGGGGTCGAACCCGAGTCAGCTGCGTGCAAGGCCTTTCCACTACGCTATCTCTCCAGCCCCACCCCACCACATTCTTACAGAGGAACAGATCAATGGCCGTGGCGGGGGTACCCGCCTTTCCTAAGGTTCAGCCACTTCCCATCTCAGGTCCTATCTGGACCACCCCCCTAGCCCCAGCCCAGCCCCCTGCCTCCCTCACCTCCATCTCAGGCCCCAGCAGAGAGGCTGCTGTGACCCCTTGTGTGGGAAGCCATGGAGACCCCCTGGCAGGGCTCGAGGGAAGCGGGGGGCCAGAGCCAAGCTTGGGGAGAGGCAGGAGCTCCCCCTTCCCACAGGCCCTTCAAGAGACAGGAAGCATCAGGTTTGGGTGGGGGGAGTCCCCAAGCCTGGCCCTGCAGACAGACATTGGGAGGTGAGGGGTCCTCCCTTTCACAAAGGTTTGCCATCCCTGGCCCTGGGTGGGGGAGGGTTGACTCTTCTCTAGATAATCCCTAATTCCCAGATCCACAGCCAGAGGTGACCTGGGCTTGCCATCTCTCCCTGCCCCAAAGCCAAACCTTGTGTCCTTTCATGGGTGTCCCCTCTGTGCCCTTTTGCTATAGGTTGTTCAAGACAGGCACTGTGACACATGCCAGGCCCCAACCAGGCCCCCCACTATGCCTGCATTCATCTCACTCCGAGTCCTTTTCCCCAACTTCCACTGCCCCGCAGTCCAGTTCTGACCTCCAGCCTCAGGTCACTTTCTTGCTCCCTGGAACAGGACCGTGTTGCCCCGGACATCTGCACGGAACCACTCTAGAGTCGCAGGGCTAGGGCATTCAGCTGAGTGTTTAGGTCTCACTGCTTTGAAGCCGGCTCTGCATGACCTCCTTAAGAATCTAGTGGTCGGGGCTGGAGTGATAGTACAGCGGGTAGGGCGTTTGTGTTGCACATGGCTGACCCGGGTTCCATTCCCAGCATCCCATATGGTCCCCCGAGCAATGCTAGGAGTAATTCTCTGAGTGCAAAGCCAGGAGTAATCCCTGTGCATTGCCGGGTGTGACCCAAAAGGAAAAAAAAAAAAAGAAGAATCTAGTGGTGGAAGTGCTGGAGCGATAGTACAGTGGGGAGGGCGCTGGCCTTGCTCGCAGCCAACCCAGGTTCGATCCCCAGCATCCCATATAGTAACTCCTGAGTGCTGAATCAGGAGTGACCCAAAAAGCAAAAATAAATAAATAAAATAAATAAATCTAGTGGTGGAGCCCAAACAGCTGTACAGCGGGGAGGGCACTTGCCTTGCACATGGGTCCTGAGAATTCTATATCGTTCCACACCGCCAGGAGTGATCCCTGAATGCAGAGCCAGGAGTAACCTTTTAGCACTGGTAGGTGTGGCCAAAATATCCTTTCTCCCTCTCTCTCACCCTCTCTCTCCCTCTCTCTCCCCTCCCCGCCCCCCGCACACCGCCCCCCCCCCGCCCCAGAGCAAGCTCTTCACCTATCCTGTTCTCATCCCTGCCAGATTGCTAGTTACCTCCAACATGTTAGCTCGAGCCTCCCTCCACCTTGCTGGACAGGGTCCCGGAACCCAACAGACCTGGGGAAGGAACTAAGGGACTAAGAGGAGACTGGGTGTACATAAGACGAA